GCGACAAATAAGGTAACAAGAATGTTTAGGGAACTAAATTAAAAACAAACAACAAATAAGGAAGTTTCATAATTAATTTCTTTCACGTTTATGAAAGCGGCCAAATCCTGCAACACATTTTCTGACAGTTCTCTGCATCGGGGGGTGCATAGTATTATCAGAGCTCAACATGAGCGTGATCCATTAGCTAAAACTGCAACCCACTGAGCAAAAGATGCTGCCAGTGTATTTGTTAAAGAAAATTAGCTAAAGTTGTTTCCACTTAAGGCCTGTAATTCAGGCAAATGATTTAAAAAAGCTGAAATGCCACCACTGTGACTCAGAGCATTTGGTTTGGTGGAACAGAGGTGCAGCAGGTCAGTTTTAACATCCTCAACACCTCCATCATATGTCTCCTTAGACAAACACTGAAGCCCATCAAACATCCCGATCCTGGCTTGAAAGACTCTTCTGATGGGGGCCTTTAATTTTTAATCAAATGAGAACAAAGAGTAAATGCTGTCCAACGCTCATCATACCAAGGTGAGCTGTTATTTAAATGCGTTTCCTCTTAGCACAGCTCACTGCTGCTGTAAATTATTAGCTTAGTTTCAGAAACATTTGCTTATGCACTTGGCAGACGCCTCTGTCCAACGCAACGTAGAAATGAAGAAGAAATGCAGAGACCTATTTAGCCAAACCCAACATGAACAGGTGTGTGGTTATTTTACATTGAATGCAGTGGTGAAAATGTCATGTTACTCATTTAACAGAGCAGTAACAGAAAAAGCCGTTTCCTTACTAAAACACAGAGTTCCTATATAAAACCCACGTAAGCCGTCCTGAAGCAGCTGATGGAAATAAACAACATGTTTTAAAAAGGGAGGCATTACGTAACTTTTAAACTAAAGTTATTTTCATATCTTCAGACTGAGAAGTAGAGAATAGGCTCATTACTTGACAGATCAAAAACAAACAATAAGAGGCTGAATAAACCTGCTCTTTTTACGCCTGTGTGTATGCCTCACTACACTACGATTTTTTCCACAATAACATTAAATAACTTTCAATGCATAAAATAGACACGTATATATTTCAACCCATGTCATTATGTACTTGTAGAAATCACCATGAGTTAGATATCGTAAGTAAAAAAAGGAGTCTGACCTCATCAAGCCCTTCTTCTTCATGGAAAGTCCTTGACAGGAAGAGACACGTCAATGTATTATCCTTTTTTGTGAACAAGATGAAGTCTTTCCCAATTCGCATTGAGCCCCTGGAACGACAAAAGTTAAAATACCAGGTGAGACATTTTTACACCAACTGCGCACAATAAATTTCAAACAGCTCAGGAAACACTCACGATTTCAATCCATTTCCATACTGGCCGATCTGAGTGGACTCTGGGGAGCGCTTGTTTGACTTTCCAAACTGAATCACGTGGGTTGCCTCAACTATCAAAGAGAAGACGTTTTGAAGACACAATAAGAGGAGTACATCACTACAAACCTCATTATGAGCAGACTTCAAGTCTTGCTTACTTGGGTCCATTCCAATGCCATCATCTAGAAAAAAAAGCATAAAACCACCACGAAGCTCTGGTCGTTTTTCTGGAATAGAAACACAAACAACAAAAATTAAATGTAATCTTTGTGAACAACTCAATGTGTAAAACTGGTAAAGCACTTATGACCGTACCGGTGTAGATGTCTATCCTAGTTGCATTGGCGTCTCTGTAAGAAAAAAACAGCAACAAAAAAAAACCACAGAACTGTTAGGAAAAAATCTGTTTAATGAACATTATCTTGGTAAAATTTTGTTTCCAGTCAAACTTATTACCTTGAATTGTCCACAAGCTCAGCCAAGGCTCCAAATAAAAACTCATGGGTTGTCCTAACAACATACAATTAAGATTCTTAGTCCAAAGGTAAGTACTAGGGCACATTCTCCTAATATAAATAATCTGAAACTTCTTGTTCCAAATTTACAGTATAAATTTATTCTGTCTGCAATGTTATGTAAACTTCGTGTGAGCATAACTAACATGCTTTCCTCAGCAACACCATAAACTGTGCCAGCCAAGTTACGCTGATGATGCAACTCTTCTTTTGTTCCGTTTTTGTAGAGGCGTTTGTTTTTCTCCAAATATAGATTTTTCTCCTACAAATAAACTTATATTACCCAAGCTTTCAGTGCATACATAAACTTGTGCACCTCCAATTAAACTCGCTTCACAATCCTCTCAACACTCTCTGTAGCATGAGGCCGTTTTCTTTCCACTCATCTTTCCAATAGATTTGGTGTTTTTTTTTAAACTGTGTGTTGTGGTTTAACCTCCCTGTGGAGGGTCTTCGTGTTAGCAGTTCTCTATATGATTGTGTGGGTCATAACATTCATGCTCTTTCACAAATGGAGTTGAACAATTTAACTTTTCGATAATATTCTAACTTATTGAGATGAGCCTGTTTACAAACTAAATCAACACATGAGTTATAGGAGGCAAGACTTGTTGGAAGAGCTTGAATTGTAAGGTGTGTCCAGTGAATGAGCGTGTAACAGTCTGCACATTAACACAGCCCACAGACTGTAGCGCTGATAACCTCCCTGTAGCCGATTCAGATCTCACACAGGACTCAATGTTTCTTTAAGAGTAATGTAAAAGATTGTGATACCACTTTTTCATAATTCATCATATTTTCTGTTCACCGACAGAGGAAAGGGCTTTTTTATGGAGGGATTCCTGGCTTTTATCTGGCTTAAAAACTGAAAACCGTAAGTCTTATTTGATTTAGCCTATTTCTTTTGTCATAAAGTAGAGCTGCTCTAAGATTATAAACTGGTCATATTGTCAATGTTTGTACTTACGAGTTTGTATGTAGGTACTCAAAGGTAAGCTGAGCTCTGCTCAGGTTGCTGTAGCTGGAGTAGGCCATGGCCCCTCAAAGTTATGGTCTACTTCCTTCCTGTTTGCCTTCTTCCTGACCAAACGAGCTCTAGTTGAGAGCATTCATTCTGAAAAAGGGAAGTCAAGATTACAATCACCGGTCATATGTATTAAACTGCACACCCCCTTAATTCGTTAACTAAGAGTCCGACGTCAGACAAAAGTAACTGATATGGACGCTATGCAACATAGCAAAAGAAGCACTCACGTAAAAGACTCCCTGCAGGTGAAGGTAACTCGGGTGCACCACGTGGGAGGCCTGTTGAAGAACAACAAAATGTTGTGACTTGATCAAGGAGCGTCTTTTGGGCGCAGTGCTGCCTGAAAACACGTTTCCACATATGCATGTCTAAAAGCAGCATACAGACGAGCTAGGCTTCTGAGAAGCAATGCAACTTTGTGTTTACTCATGTATGCATGTTATAAACTGCCTATCTTTTGGACATCCATTGTTACTAATGTTTACCGTCTGGCTAAAACTGCAGCTAACGGACATTAGCATCCCTTGACTGTTTATGGACCAACGACGCTACTAGCTAGCCTTTCACAGTCGTTAGCTAAATCTTGACATTTTGAGCAAATCTGCAGGCCGTTGTAATACGACAGAAACTTCACACTGTAATAATCACACGCTAGAGGAATAGATAGTTTGTAACATTACGTCTTAGTCTCCTTGGCATAAACCAATCCCACAGGCCGCGTAAAATCCAGTTTCTTCGACGGCGATAGTTGATTCCCCGTAGCGCCCTGACAATATACAAATCCCGCCTCTGTCTTTCCGCAGACCAATAGGAAAACAACATGGCACGATTCTCAATAACCATTGGTGAATACGTCCGTCTACGTAAGCAAGATTACATACCGGTGCACGCGAGGCTTTGAGTCGCACCTGTTTGCGCCAAAATGTAAAATTTAGCAGACAGATAAATCTCAAAATGAGCAACGACCAACTGCATTTGTTGGGGAGGTTTTAATATATATGTCTCTTCTACTTTCTAACATGCACAAATAAGAAACTGAATTTGCTGAGTGATAGTTTAAGACAATGGTCTTCAAACTATCAGTACAACTGGAGATACTTGGGCCGATCTAACATGCATTTAAATTTATGGAGTCAAAAGGACCAGTCAAAAAATGCAAAGTTCAAGAGTCCTAAGTTCAGTTTAACAAGGGATTTCCACACAGTTTGGAGAAGTGTGGGATTTTATTTCAGCGTTTTTGGGAGCTTGATAGCTATGGGAAAAGAAAATGTTTGCATGGAAAGATATTAAAATGCCCAGACTATTCTCTATTTCTTCATTTTTTGGTTTCATTTTTATATACTTTTGGAAATATATCAAAATGGAGGAAAAGGCAGGTTCCTCATACCCTTTCTTTCTTGTTTTATTTGTTCTAACCTTCCCTGTGCTCTTCCTTCCTTCTGTCCTTTCATCCTTGTTATTTCTCCCTTCGTTCTAACCTTGCTTCCTTCTGACCTTCATTCCTTCCTGTCCAACTTTTCCCCTTGTGTTCTTCTTTCCATTACGACCTTTCTGTCCATGTGTTGTTCCTCTCCTTGTGTGTCATTGTTCTTTTTTTAATATAAAACACAGAAAACTCTGGAAAGTTGAGTATGGAAAAGCTTACACTTTTAACATGGTCAATTAAAAAAATCACATCATTTCTATTTTGTGTGCTTCTAATCTCTGGTAAGGCTAGTTGATTAATGACTGATAAGACATTATATCCAGTCAAAACAAAACATCAAGTCAAGGTGATTGATCAAGACAAAAGAAAAGATCAGATCAAGGTGATTGATCAAGTCAAAACAAAAGATACAAGATGATTGTACAAGATGGCTTCATTTTGTATCTGTAATAATTGAAATGGCAAAGGGGCAAAATCACCATACATGTTCAACCTGGATAGTGAGTTGGAGAACAAATTCAGAATCCTTCAGTAGAAAACAGGAAACCACGGACTAGCTTCGGTTTGACAGAATTATTAGTTGATTATGGTAATTATTATTTAAGACGGTGCATTTCTCAGAATTTTATGCAAACATAACGGGAATGTTCAAAAATGGAGGTTACACAAATTTGTGTTCGAAAATATTTAATGATACAACCTGCCAAACACAGACATTAATTGAACGCCTTCTCGCCAAATTTACCTGGAATGCTTCAATGATAATACAATACCAGTTCTTCTCATTCACATTAAAATTAAGATACCAAATTTTCTTTGCAAAGCAGTTGGCCTTAATATACAAAGTTCATTCAATTAAAACATAGAAAGAAATGTACACTTTGTACAATTATGTAGTCAGGGAACTCATATTCACAACACATGTTGCACCTGCTATCTGAGGTCTTTACGAAACCACAGTCACATTGCAACTTGTGATTTGTACTAAAACGTTTACAAACATTTACATAATTCGGATGCCTGTGTATGCCAAGCTTAAGAAGTGTATTTCTATAATTACTTTATTTAGGACAACAAAGTGCACTTGTTACAAGGTCAGCAGCAATGAAAAGTATTTAGTAAAATGCAAACAACACCATGTAAACGAGTATGTCGTGAAATATTTTGCTGTTTCTTCCGCCAAAGAATTTCCTCGCTGTGTAGGACTGTAACACCTCTTCAGCTTTCAATCAAAGGTTCCTGTAAAAAAACAACAAAAAAAAAAACAGTAAAGAAGATAAGGTAGATTAAACAGTTTCTATAGTATTACATATGCAACCAGAACAGCTAACTAATATTAGAGGAAAAAGTGATCAAAGCTTAAGATCATTTAAAAAAAAAAAGCAAATTACACTTTGAGAGTTTTGTCCTGCAAGATAATCTCGGTGCGGGACGGAGGTTTTCAAGCTTGCAGCTATACAGAGAATCAAACAAACACCAAGCAGAGACACGCTGACTTCCACCAGATGTTTCACCGCCACACCTTGCTCTTCCTAAAAATAAAATGGAAAAAAGGGAGAAAAATAAGATGGGATATTATCAAGGCAGAAATGAGAATATTCTTCAAGAGCGGCACTCCGTACCAGAGTTAACATGACGGTCAAGGATGGGTCTTTCCTAAAGTGCATACTGTAGCAGGTTTGAGATGATGCTGGCAGCTGATTGGTCACTTCCACAGGAACTCTTGAAATATTTGACTCTGACACAGAGCACGTTGGAGGGAGCCTTTTTAAAAACAACACGAGAGTGTATGTTCACAAAAATTGAACCAAAACTGATCGTTAAAAACCATCTTATTGACACAACCAGGTGTGTAAGAATATTTGAAATGAGTTCATAATTTACTACAACAGAACTTCATTGTTAAGTTTTAAAACAATTAAAGAAACAAGCAAATAAACTTATCAGTAATCTTACGGAGTCATAGGTAGGATGTGTGTTGGAGCCCTTATTGTGAGACATATGTGCTCACTGTCTTCAGATAAGATCCTCAATGCCAAACTGACAAGTTCTTTATCTAGAAAATTAAATAACTTGTTAATGAAATCAAGAGAGCTTATAGTCACTTCAAACTGATCAGATAAAAAAAAAAACACAACCTCCAAGCTTAAGCTGTTTGGCTGTTAATGTTGTGAACAGAACAATGTCTTTCAGCGTGCCACTCGGTGAGGAAGAAATCACAGCCAGAGGAACGTGAAGATGCAAATCCTTAACAGAAGAACTTCTTGTTGCATTTATTGATATTTTCTTATCCTTTTCCTGGATCGTTTGTAGTGGAGAAATTGGGGAGGTGTGGGCTGGAGAACTTGCATTTTCCTTCTCACACAAGTGAAACGTTGAGAAGGACAAAAGTAGAGTATTCCAGTCCTGTGACAAGAACAATGAACATTCATTTCAGAGTAAAACACTGTCCTATACTGGAATACCTGTAAGAATAATTACAAAAGGGCACTTATAAATCATATTCCTATTAAATTCAGTGATTGTAGTATAATGAAAATGGAAGACAACATAGTCAGCATCATATGTTAACAGTGATTCTTGAGAATAGGGACAAACCAGGTCCTATGGATAAAGCACCAAATTTGAATAAAATATACACAATATATATATATATTTTTTCAAATATCTGACTAAACTAACCTGGGTCATGTGAGCACAACAATGTATATTTTTCTTGTGTTTGCTGAATATTTTTTTTTATTTTAAACATTGTAGTTGGTGGATGATGCTTATAAAATCCCTTGTCCAGGAGCAGAACTCAACACATTATAATAGTTTAAAACAATTAAAGAAATACTAAAATTATATATTATGACAATTATATTTTACTCACTAGTTTGTCACCACCTTCAGCTCTGTGTCAACTCCGTCATGCACTGTCAACTCCGTCAGAGTTTAAATAATATTTATTTTGTTTCTTGAGAAGCATTTGTCTGTAAAATGAGTAAAAATATCACTAATGGGATATTTTAAAAATCATTTTATATTTATTTTTGTCAGATGGTGATGACAAAGTTCTGAGTCAGGTCGATTAAAAATTTAATTTTTTTTTTTTAAATTGCAACTGGGAGCCTGCACCTTAGCATCTTTACATTTCCTAAACATTATTTGTCATATTTGCATACATATGGGAAAATTAAAACCCATGTCCCTATTCTCAAGAATCACTGGTGAAGCAACGCAAGTATAATATAAACAAACAAATTTAACTTTTTTAAACAGAACTAACAAAACGGCCCAACGTTTTGCAATACTTCTTTGGGTGAACAACCTTTTACACATGCATGAATACTTTCGATGTTGTACTGCGATATTCGTGGGTAAGATGAATTCTTGACATCGTGGACGAAGGTGAATGCGACCTTACCTGTTCTATGTCAGGGTTAGGTAGAGAGTGAGAGTAGCTATAAGAGCTGAGAACGATGAATGAGAATGCAAGAGTTAAGAGGCACAGGAAGAAAGTTGTCCCCGGAGGATTGTGGGATACGTATTCTCTAAGGTTAGACCCCTGACTCATCCTCAGGCTTCCATGTACAGCTGGGGTGAGGGAAGCTGCAAACAGAAAAGTATGAAGTCATTGAAGCAGGTTTGACTAAATCTCTGCCACTGAATCCTTTGTAGACATCTCTGACCTCAAATGTTTTTTGCGGCCAGTTTTCTCAAGACAGGGATAGCTTTAATTGGGGCTATCCCTGCTTGCTCCAAGTATTAAAGTCATATGTCACATAATGCATTGTCAGCACAATATTGTAAACTGCCATCTCAAAAACAACCACGGAAGCAGCATTATTTCAAGTTGGCCTCAAAAACAAAACTTAAATCAACAGGAATCAGGCTTCAAGAATTCAGGGCTTGTATGTGTCAGATTGTGAAGGACAGAGAATAAAAGCTATTGTATGCCAGCCATCAGTATTTCATCGCTTTAAAAGAGCAAACAACTCGCAAGACAGTTTTGATCATAGCTTCGTCAAAGATATTAAGACATAAAGAGATCACGTCAAGCTGTAGAAAACATGACATGTGGCTTTTACTTTTGTAGAACTTGATTTTTAAAACCGTATTCAGTATGAGTACATTGCTTGGAGACACCGATACTTAACGTCTGCTCTTATCCTTCTTCTGTAGCAAAAAAAACCTTCAGTAAAACAGCGTTTTTAATATTCCATCTCTGTTCTGGAGACGTTCTTGTCAAAACACTCGCCAACTCCACGAAGTGCTGTAAATGTTGCTAGCCAAGTAGCTTCGCATGACACTTCCATACCTTGAAACAGCGCTTTTATGTCATTCCAAATGTCCGGATATCCTCTTTGAAAGGTATCAATAGAAAGTCGATTAAAAGTCTCGAGTTAAGCCTTCATATTAGCATGGCGAAATGGCAACTCAAACATCACGACAGTTTTCCAGTTTACGACCTTGCATTGCCATGACTACTTTGATTACGCAAGTCACGTGATCAGTCAATCCGTGTTCGTTTTCGATGAGATTGGAGAAAAGTCGCTGACAGATTTCAGCCAATAAACTAAGATTTACATGTACATCTCAAGTTAAAATATTGCTCAATATAGTTGTCCAGTCTTTTATGACGTCCTAAGTCAGAGCCGCCATCTAGCAGAATATTTTAGAGTGCTTCACCCTTGAAACCTGCATCCGTTTTATTGCCAAAAGGTACCAAAACCTACATTAACCCCCCATTCTTTATTGTTCAGCAAATTGGACTGCGGATCGATTTTCATCAGTCCATAGGGATAAATTGACCGTCTCAATTCATCCCGACTCTCTGGAGTCGGGATGAATTGAGAAACTGATGAGGTAGTCCATGAACATGCTTTTCAGTAGGCAAATATTTGTGCATGCATCTTTCATTTAAACACGTCTCGCAGAACTCCGTTTTGTGCAAAAATTTTGTTTTCAGCTGCAAGCCATCCTTCCCTCATCTATAACTACGTATTCTGGCCTGGATGCTTTGGGTAGGTAATGAAATGTCCTGTACAGGTGATGCACGCACAAAATCCTAGGGGAAATTTAGAATGACCAAATAGCAGAATGCATAATTCTGGACAATAGGAAGAAGCTATAGAAGCCAAACGGGGACAACATGCAAATACGTCAGGAAGGGATTCAAACCCAAGACCTTCTTTTAAGTAGTGCAAAAAGAGAAATGCATTTCTGCAAAATCTGTTTAAAGACTCTTAATGAGTTTCACCTTTTGAATTTAATTACCAAAATACTTGAGAATTTAATTTACTGAGATGGTCCCATTTACTGACAAAATGTAAATGGAAACATTAAAATGGTTAAAAAAAATATTCTTTAAACATTTACACACAAAAAAAATCATGTTACAAATTTGTCATCAGAAACAGATCTATGTAAACGGCTCTTAAAGAGGAAAAAAAAAAAAAACCCTGCAACAATCAAAGACTGTTTAGTTCCAGCTCATCATTTCCCTTTTTGTCATATAACCTTAAAGTTTGCACTAAGTACTTATTGGACCAATCAAGATGTCCAGGTGACTTTTATAGGCTTGAAAGCCCACACATCAGGGTGTCCCATGTGGTACAAGTCATCATAAGGAGAAGTGCTCCACTGGAAAGGTGGCACCTGGTCCCAGGTCGGCCCGCTGACTGCCAACATGCCATACTCTCTGAACATTTCGTAGGAAGTCAGCTACAAGGGAACATGTAAAAATTGGTGAAAGACAGATAATGTCAGTTATTTTAATGTCAATCAAAATCTAAACACATGAAGTGGGATTTCAGAAAAAAAAAAAAAAAAAGACCTTCATGTCTGTTCCTCCATGCGGTCTCTGCTTTAAGGCACCAAATGGATACGTCCCATTAGCTGGGTTGAGGTCTGAACGAGCCGAGATTGCGTTCTCCCCATTCTGAGGCGGATCACATCCATCACACTTTGACAATGGATCTGCTTTAAAGTTATTGTACCTAAAAAAAAAAAAAAAAAAAAAGGAAAAAACCCCTTAAACCCAAAACCACCAGAAAAAAAAAAAATAAAATTTTTTTGAAAACTTCAC